GGCGGAGACGGCGGCGGCGAGGCTGGGGCCAGGGAGAGATCCCCGGGGGAGAAGCGCCCGAGCCGGGCCGCGGGAGCATGTGGGCCCGGAGCGGAGCGCGGGGCGCGCTGCTGCTGGCGCTGCTGCTCTGCTGGGACCCGACGCTGAGCCACGCAGGTAAGGAACGAGCTGGCGAGGGGGCAGCGGGACGAGGGTACCCTCGGCTCCTCACTCTGGGCCGAAGTTGAGGTGGTCGGTGCTCGTCGAGAAAGCGTTGGGGTGCCCAAGTTAGCAGGTAAATTGTTCTACCCACCAAAGTGGGCGATGGCGCAGCCACCTCTCGGGGTCTCTAACCAGGAGGGTCGGACCCGGTGTGTTCTGAAAAAGCCGGAAGCTTGCTGCCCGGTCCGGGGAGGGTTGCGTCTTCCCTGGGACGGGTGTCCGAGTCGGGGTCCAAGCCTTGAGGGTGGCTCCGCTTCCGTGGACCCCTGGTTCGTCGCGCGCCAGGCTGCGACTCCGAGAGAGAAAAAACCCCACCAAAAACTATCGCTTCTTGGCTAGGTAGGCGCTTGCTGCCTCTCGCCGGCAACTTCCTAGTCCCGGGCCCGGCTCGCCCCGGCTCCAGAGCGCTGCACGGCCGGAATCTGCAGACGGGAGGGAAAGAGGGAGAGACCGGCGGACCGCGGGGAGCGCGGGGTTTGCTCTGCCTGCGGGAGGAGGGTTGAAGGGCTTTGGCCAGTGGAGGCAGAGGGCTAAGTCCTGCGCAAACCGCTTTACCCGAAATCGTGTAAGCTGCGGTCTTTGTTGGGGGTATAAGGAAGGTAAGAGGAATGGAAGTACCTAGTGATCCTGCCGAGTTTTCTTTTTAAATGGGTCACTGGTATTTTCTCTGTCCTGGAAGCAAAGTGCGCTTGTCTCTGCACCCTCCTACTCTGGACCTAGCAAGATGCCATAAGGTGGGCCCATGAAATAATTTCTCTACCCACGACCCACAGCCACCACCACCATCATCACCCTTCTCCCCTCCCGCATGTGCTCGTCTGCAGCTGGGCGGGTCGCTGCTAACAGGGCTGCGATTTCCCAGGGATGAGGCGCACACCCCGGACTCGAGTCCGGGGAAACAGCCAGGTGGTCAAGGCTCCCCGCGCCAGGATCATCCTGGCATGAGCCTGTTGAGGCTGTGAACGGGGCAGGAAGACTGATGCAGAAAGTGGGTAAGGTGACGCAGTCCTCCCCCCTCCAGCTTCCCCTGCACAGTAGACATCCGCTCCCCCTCCCCCTCCCCCACACCTATAACCAAAGACTCCTCTTTCTGAAATTAATGATTCCCACGGCCAGGGAGTGAGGGATTGGTTTTAGCACATCCCCCACTTTTTTTTTCTAGCCCTGTGTTGTAAAGTTACGACACTCAATCATTTGATCCAAGTTAATTATGATTTGGGCAGACTCTGGTATTTAAAGGAGTGTTTTGAAGTTGGACAGTAATGATAGGAGAGGGGGCAGACTGCTGAATGACCAACCTTGTTTCACAGAATGCAGTTGGATGTGGGAGGTGCTGGGCTGGAGTGCAGCTTTCTGGTTTGAGGGTGTTTTTGTGGGGGGTTGTGAAGGGTAGTGTGAAGTCTCTGTGAATGACATATGGGCAGGGTTGTACCTTGGGAAGCTATTTTTTGTGCCAGCAGGGCAAGGGGATCACAAGTAAATACCGAGGGCACTGGGGGTGGTGACTCTGCCTGCTTGGCCTCAAGTTTCCTGGCACTTGAAAGTGGGCTCAGCCAGTGAGGCTGGGGGTGGTCTGCCATCCGCTTAACAAAGCACACAGCCCCCACCTTCCCCAGAAGAAGCCCCAGGCCCAGGACTTTGATGGATTTGGGCATGAACAGTGCCCAGCCAGAAATGGCCTCTAATACCGGGCTTTGATTTCTCACCATCAGCAGAACCCGTGTTGGAATTGTGCTCATTACTTCGCCCAGCAGGGGCTGCCTGCCCACCAGCCTGGAGAGGGGCCAACTGGTGGGGTCCGCCTGCAGCCTTCCCTTTGCCCAGAACGTGCGGCCCTTAGAAACTGCCTTCAGGAGGGAGAACATGCTCCTTCCTCCTACACAGCCCTTTTTCTCTAATGCCAAGCACAGAGCAGATTTCAGAATGTTCTGTGGGTCTTCCCAGTGGATCCCTCATTACGGGGAAAACCAAGGCCGAGGCTTGGCCTTTCTTCAAACCTTGCCTTCTCATGACCTTAGATAGCAGACTTGTACGCAGTGCTCAAGTCCAGCAGCCAAGCGGATTCAGGCCACACTGGACTCTTTCTTGTGACTCCATCCACCCCTTTGTCTTATCAAGCAGAGCCGGGAAGACTGTCTTTCCTAGGAGGGCCCTTTCTGGGGGTGTACAAGTTTCCCTCAAGCAGCAGGCTCCTCTCTGTCCTCCCCCACCTTTATCCACAGTGAAATAGAAATGAGTTCCATTCACAGCACCATGGGATCTTTTAAACCATAAAGGTTGATGGTGGAGAAATCAAACCCAGAACATAAAACCGCAGACCTTAGAAAGAGATGTCAGCAAGTGATGGACCAAGACAGGCCACTTCAAAAGCCTGGGAATCTCCCCCTACTCCACCCCTCAGCTTTTCCCGGAGTTTTTAATGAGCCTTTCTTTCCTTGGCCTCTGGCTGGGATGGTTGAGAAGGAATCAAGGTGTCATGATAACACTTCTTTTTAAGGTGCAATTAAAAGTTGGAATTTTCTTAGTGTCTCTCTCTTGTGTGTGGGTGGGTGGGGAGGGGGTTTTGAGGTGACCCAGCCTTGTCTCCCTTTACACTGTAGCAAACACTCATCTCACTTAAACAAATGGAAAATTAAGAGTAGCTTAATGGGTTTTCTCATTAAAGTAAAAGTAGGGAAGGAAAGGAAATCCGAATGCAGTTTTCCCTTCCTCCTTTGTCTCCCCACTCTCCAAACTGGGAATTCTGTAGGACCGAACCACTCCCCTCTTCTCCAACCCTGGAGCTTTGGGACAAGCCCTGGCTTGCCTGAGGTTACACTGGGACTGAGGCAAGAGAGCTGGGATTTGAACTCAAGCCTGGCAGACCTCAGTCAAGTCCTGGCTCCTTTATTCCCATAGGGCAGCAGACTGGCCAGCTTGGGTCTGGGGTTGAGAATCTGAAATCAAGACACCACCTAAGCAGGCAGCCGAAGATAAGGTTGGTTTGGTATCAGGTTTGATTGGGACATGTAGCTGGATGGGTGGAAGATATTGGGACCATGGAACCAGAAGTGGGGAACATGGCAGGGCCAAAGGTCAGGTCCTGGGAATGGGTAAAAGCCCAAAGGCAGCCCGATCCCTGACCCGCCCCCCCCCCAACCTTTGAGCTTCTCAGCAACTGCCCGAAGCCTTCCCCAGCTGGGATAACTCAAGCCAAGCTCCCTTGACCTGCAGACTAGCCACTAGCATTTCAGAGTTCTGCCGCTCATGTGGAAGGTTGAATCAGAATATGTATAATACTTGCCTTTTACTTTGAAATTTCGAGGGCTATCTCCTCCCATCTACTTCATTGTTGGTTTCTCCTGGACTAAGTGACCCTACTTCTGGCCATCAGGCCCTAAAAAGAGGTCTGTCTCTACCTCCCTTCCCTACCCCACTAATGTCTTCTGTGTGGACTGCCTAAGACTTTGGGGGGTGGTGTGGGCTGCCAGACTTTGATTTGAGGCTGGAGGAGCAGGCCCTTACCTTTCCAAGTGCTTAGAGAACAAGGGTAGTGGTTCTCAGCGGCCTTCCCAGAGGCTGCCAGCTCCCCCAGTGATCGTTTGAACCTCCGAGGTAGGCTTATGTAGAAAGGAGACAACTTGGAACCCACCGAGGGCTGTAGAAACAGGGTTGTAGAAACGGGAGGAGAAACGGGGTGACAGGTCAGCACTTGGGACTTGGTGGCTTGGAGCTGAGGCGCAGAGAAAAGGTGCTGCCTGGGCTCTGGCCCCAGTGGGGAGAGAGGAGCCAGGGGCAGCCCAAGCCAGAGCTGGGCTTCTGTGGCCTCCTCCCCCTTCTCACCAGTTTCCTAAACAGTTTCTACAAATGGAATCATTAAAACTGTGAAGGCAAAATGAAACCAAACAAGAGCTTTCTGTGCATTTCTCCTTTTTTATGGAAAAATTTTTAAATAACCATAGTTAGAATAATACAAGGGAGGTCTTGGGATGGCCATGGAGGGGGGAGAGGGAGGTGGCTGCCGGCCTCCCTGGGAATCTGTGCATTCCACCCTTTTGATTTGCTTATGGATTTGGGGCTAAGCCTGGGCTTAGCCAGGTAGACCCCCCACCAATGCCTTGAGAATGTCTCCTCACCAGATATTTTTTTGGGTGGGCCTCTCCTCTCGCCCTTTTAGAGGAAGTCCTGCCTCCAGGAGCTGGCCTTGGCTCCTCCATGTGAGTTGGTGGTGTTCAGGATTCGAACTCCAGCCTGGCATTGCCCTAGCCGCTGCACCCACGAGACCGAGCTGCTGATCCCAGTGGCATCCCTTTTTCTCCAATCAGCGGCTTAGGCGATGCTGATGGCAGCTGAAAACATTTGCTGAAGTGCAAGCTGTAGATATACCACCTCCCTGCCCCCACCCCACCCCTTTCCTTTCCTCTTCCTTCTCTCCAAAAACACTGGGTTTCTGGAAGCTCCAGAATCACGGTGGAGTGGGGATTCTCCACAGCTTGCCCAGCTGCCTAGCAGTTACCTGGGGGTTGTTCTGCAAAGCACCTCAGCCCTGCTTGCTCAGCCCTTTCTCCAGCGGCTCCCTCTAGACCCCCTCGTCTGCAGAGTAAATGAATATGCAGGATCAGACTGGGGGCTCTCTGCCACCCCCAAGCCAGGCCTCAGAGCATCTCACCTCCCCACTCCGCTGCCCCAGCACCGCACAACTTCCCGCTCAGTTCTGTGGGAAGGCAAGCTGTGGGGGTGAGAATGTGTATTAAGGAGTATCTATGTGTGTTTGTGGGTGACAATGTGTATTAAGGAGTGTGTGTGTGTGAGAATGTGTATAAGGAGTGTGTGTGTGGGGGGTGAGAATGTGTATTAAGGAGGTGGGGCAGAGGTGGGAGTGTGCATTGGTAAGGTGGGGTAGGTGCGTCCGCTGGGGTGCAGGTGTAGAGGTAAAGTGTGCAGAGGTTGTGTGAAGGGGAATGGGTGTGTGTGTT